AAAAAAAAAAAAAAAAAAAAAAAAAAAAAAAAAAAAAATGCCTAGGATGGTATTTAGAGCATAGTTAATATTCAATAGATTTTGTTATTTTTATGATGTGTTTAAAAGTTCCTTTTAATTTTTTCCTTCAAGGTCCGCTTATAAAGATGTAAATTTGGTGGACTATTCACTCTTACCTGATAAGAGGATAGAATAAATGGAATTCTTTCGACTATTGTAGTTGATAAAGTCTGTTCTAGCATTTTTCTTTAAGAAGCTGTGCTTTGGTGCTCTGAGATGCATTAGTGTCCCCTGTGTAACATTCATATTTTGAACAGTTTATGTTGTTTTCTAATAACTAATTAAAACTAAAGAATAACTAGCAATTTTATCTTTTATTCAATAAGGAAGCACTAAGTAATATGGATGATTATGACAAAACCTGCTTGGAGTCTGCATTAGTTGGCGTTTGCAATATCGTTCAGCAAGAATGGGGTGGTGCAATTCCTTGCCAGGTAAAAATCAATTCTTTTTCATCGCCCTAAGTTAACAACATTAACCATTGAGGTGCTTCAGTTTTCTTCAGGCTCTGACACAGCATACATAGTAATTTCCACAAACTACATTTTACACTATTGGTATCTTCTTAATAGAAGGTACTAAATCAACGCTAAGTTATTCAGAAAGCAGCAAAATTATGCCTTAAGGAAAGCATCCTTCTAGTAAATTGACTTATTGCAAACTAGTACGGTTATATAAAACACAAAGGGCTCACAGTGGAATTTTAGAACTATACTCCCTGGAAGGGGTCATTATAATTTTGAGTGTTAAAATTGTAAACATCAGTATAATATAGCCTGTCTTCATTATCTCTATGCAATTATTCAGCAGACTTTTTTTTTGTTTTTGTTTTTGTTTTGTTTGTGGTTTTTGTTTTTTTTTGAGACAGTTTCTTACTTTGTTGTCCAGGCTAGCGTGCAGTAGAGCTGTCATGGCTCACTACAGCTTCAACTACACAGGCTCAGGTGATTTTCCCATGTCAGCCTCTTGAGTAGTAGAGAGTACAGGCAAATGCAATCACACCTGGCTAAATTTTTACATTTTTTGTAGAGATGGGGTTTTGTCATGTTGCCCTGGCTGGTCTCAAACTCTTGGGCTCAGGTGATCCACCCACCTCTTCTCCCAAAGTGCTGGGATTACAGGGGTGAGCCACTATGCCCAGCCTTATTCAGCAAACTTTTAACCATCTCATCTGAGTTATCTAAAAAGTGAGGAGTATAAAACATGAAATCTGACTGGGCGTGGTGGCTCACGCTTGTAACCTCAGCACTGTGGGAGGCTGAGGCAGGAGGATCACAAGGTCAAAAGATCAAGACCATCCTGGCCAACATGGTGAAACCCTGTCTCTACTAAAAATACAAAAATTAGCTATGCATGATTGTGTGCACCTGTAGTTCCAGCTACTCTGGAGGCTGAGCCGGGAGAATCACTTGAACCCAGGAAGCGGAGGTTGCAAGTGAGCTGTGATCGTGCCACTGCACTCCAGCCTGGCGACAGAGTGATACTCTAGTAAAAAAAAAAACAAAAAGAAATAACAAACCATAAAATCTGTTGCTGTTAGACTCCACAGTAGGCCACGTTAGCATCAAATCAGAGCAGAATAGTAGCAGAAAAAGACAACTGGAAATTTGCTCTATATATATACTTCTGAGAAATAGCATATTTTGAAGGACAAATGCAGAAACATTGTTAAAAGAAAAATCGTAATAGTCTACAACAGGAGTCTGCAAGCTTTTTTTATATTTTAGGCTTTGTAGGTGTCTGTGGCAACTACTCAACTCTGTTGTTACAGCATGAAAACAGCCATAGCTGTTTAGTAAATGAATGGGTAGGGCTGTGTTTAAATAAAACTTTATTTACAGAAACAGGGCCAAATTTAGCCTGTGGGCCATGTTTGCTGGACCCTGGTGTGTGACTTTTCCTTATGGAGTCAAACACAGGATTCCTCAGTTCAATACCATCACTAGTATTTATTTTTTAATAATTAAAAAAAAAAAGATTGTAGCCAGGCATGGTGGCTCGCATCTATAATCCTACCACTTTTTGAGGCCAAGGCAGGAGGATCACGTGAGCCCAGGAGTTCAAGCCAGCCTGGACAACATAGTGAGGCCCTGTCTTAAAAAAAAAAAAAAAAAAAAAAAAGGATTGTAGTTGCCTTGAAGACAAGCAGGAGGGAATCTGGGACGTGATGGAACTATTCTTTATCTTGTTTTGGGGGTGGTTACACAACTGAATACAGCTGTCAGAACTCATAGAACTGTATACTAAAAAGGGTGAATTTACTGCGTGTAAATTGTATCTCAATAAACTCACCTTTAGAAAACAACTAAAACACTTTTTTCTTATTGTGAAAACCACCCTGTTTTATAGAATGTAGTGGATACTTGCTAAAGAAGTCAATGAATGCCTTTCGATCAATTTCTTTTCAGAAATAAAAAAGTTTTTTATAGCATCTTCCCTTTTAGGCATTATCTATTTTGGTAAATCTGTGCATATAGAATGTCTTATTTCCTAACAATATAGTGAATCAATGAAGTTTTGTTGTATCTTCTGAACTGAAAGCTAGCAAGTAGCACAGTTTCATTTGCTATTTATTCTTTGGTTTTAGAGGAGAAACTCAAATTTTAAGAACCAGACCTTGTCCACCATGCAGACATTTGACTTTTATGATTTTCTTCTTTTGAATAAAGGAAGAATCTGAATTTGAGATGTACTATATGTAACCTGAGGGAAAGGGGCTGAGCCTGAATCCATCTCCACTAAAAATATAAAAATTAGCTGGGTGCAGTGGCGCATGCCTGTAATACCAGCTACTTGGGAGGCTGAGGCAGGAGAATCACTTGAACCCGGGAGGTGGAGGTTGTGGTGAGCTGAGATCACACCATTGCACTCCAGCCTTGGTAACAAGAGTGAAACTCCATCTCAAAAAAAACAAAACACAAAAAATTTTGTAGTAGAGATGGTGGTTAGTGATTATTGGTTTTTATAATCAGTTACTATAAAACAAACTGTTTAAATGTGAAATTTTTGGCCAGGCACTATGGCTCACCCCTGTAATCCTAGCACTTTGGGAGGCTGAGGTGGATGGATCACCTGAGGTCAGAAGTTAGAGACCAGCCTGGCCAACATAGTGAAACCCTATCTGTACTAAAAATATAAAAATTAGCCAGGCATGGTGGCCTGCACCTGTAATCCTAGCTACTCAGGAGGCTGAGGTAGGAGAATCGCTTGACCTGGGAAGTGGAGTTTGTAGTGAGCTGAGAACACACCATTGCACTCCAGCCTAGGCAACAGAGCGAGACTCCATCTCAAAAAAAAAAAAAAAAAGGAATTTTTTAAGCCAAGGTTTTGTTTTTTAATTATTATTTTTTTGAAACAGTCTTGCTCTGTCGCCCAGGCTGGAGTGCAGTGATGTGATTTCGGCTCACTGCAACCTGTGCCTCCTGGACTCTAGCAATTCTCATGCCTCAGCCACCTGAGTAGCTGGGACTACCGTAGTGTGCCACCACGCCCTACAGAAGTGCATCACCACGCCTGGCTAATTTTTGTATTTTCCGTAGACAGGGTTTTGCCATGTTTGTCAGGCTGGTCTTGAACTCCTGGTCTCAAGTGACCCACTGGCCTCGGCTTCCCAAAGTGCTGGGATTACAGCCGTCAGCCACCACACCCTGCCTCAACCAAGGTTTTAGACAGCTGTACTATGTCCTTATTATTCAGTAAAGCCTGTTTCATTTTGACATTACATGAAATATTTCATTATCATACAGCATCTTTAAAAGCTGGTGGAGGTAAATCATTATATAGCAATTGTTGGTACCAGAAAAGGAAATTGCCTTGTAGTGAATTGACTTATCATGTCAAAAGATGGCATCCTTCTAGGAAACCTCTCTTAAGCATTCTTGGGCTTTATCAATAAGTGACAATCTTGATATTTCACAAAGTGCCACCACCTAATACTGCCATAAGGCCTGTGCATGGTGGCTCACACCTGTAATCCCAAAACTTTGGGAGGCCAGGGTGGGTGGATCACAAGGTCAGAAGTTTGAGACCAGCCTAGCCAATATGGTGAAACCCTGTTTCTACTAAAAATACGAAAATTAGCTGGGTGTGGTGGCACGCACCTATAGTCCCAGCTGCTCAGGAGGCTGAGGCAGAATCGCTTAAACCTGATTAAAGTGGAGGTTGCAGTGAGCTGAGATCACAACACTGTACTCCAGCCTGGGCGACAGAGTGAGACTCCATCTCAAAAAAAAAAAAAAAGAATATTGTCTCAATGGCCTTTCATTATCAAGTTACTGGACTAGACTAGGAAGAGCGAAAATAATCCTCCCCTGGGATGCATGGGAAGTCTGTCTACCACAGGATCATTCTGAAGCAATGAAGGAAAGGAAAGTGATTTTGCAATTACTGTCCATTTTTGGTTTATTTTATTGGTTTTTCAAATTACAGGTAGATTAAGAATGCATTTTAGGCCTGGTGCGGTGACTCACGCTTGTAATCCCAGCACTTTGGGAGGCCAAGGCGGGTGGATCACAAGGTCAGGAGTTCAAGACCAGCCTGACCAACATGGTGAAACACTGTCTCTACTAAAAATACAAAAATTAGCCAGGAATGGTGGCATGCACCTGTAATCCCAGCTACCTGGGAGGCTGAGGCAGGAGAATCACTTGAACCCGGGAGGCAGAGGTTGTAGTGAGCCAAGATCGCAGCATTGCACTCCAGCCTGGGCGACAGAGTGGGATTCCCTCTGAAAAAAAAAAAAGAATGCATTTTAAATTTAAATATCTTTTATATTTCTGGTTAAACAGCCTTTATAAATACATATTTTAAGCAGGTGTCATTTTAGTTGACCAGGCATAGAGTTTATCATCTTTGAAAATAAAGTGGCAAAGTTCAGACTGCTGTGCTGGTACTTCTTAGGCACACATGTGAAATGAATTCTCGTTCCATTTTTGACATTGGTATGTTAGGTACCAACTCCTTATCTAAGAGATGGGGTTCTAATTTTTTGTTTTTGTTTTTGTTTTTATGAGGTGGAGTCTCACTCTGTCACCCAGGCTGAAGTGTAGTGGCACTATTTTGGTTCTCTGCAACCTCCGTCTCCTGGGTTCAAGCAGTTCTCCTGCCTCAGTCTCCCGAGTAGCTGGGATTACAGGCATGTGCCAGCACATCCAGCTAATTTTTTATTTATTTTTTTGTAGAGACAGGGTTTCACAATATTGGCCGGCTGGTCTCAAACTCCTTACCTTGTGATCTGCCTGCCTCGGCCTCCCAAAGTGCTGGGATTACAGGCATGAGCCACCGTGTCCAGCCTGGGGTTCTAGTTTTAATACAATTAAGTAAGAATTGGTTGTGAATGTTTTTGTCCTTTTTTAAGTGTTCAGAGGCAAGCTTTTAAAAAATATTGTACTAGATGAAATAGAGTAAAATGCATTGATCTTAAGTACACAGTTCACTGAGTTTTGACAAATGTATACACCTATATAACCACTACTACAATTCAGATATAGTGTTATTTACTCTGTAATGTAGAGTGGGGTTCTAGCACCCCACAAAATTTTCTCATGCCCTTTTTTGGGATTTTTTTTTGGGGGGGTTTGGGGGGGCTTATTTTGTTTTTTGAAACAGTCTCACTCTGTCACCCAGGCTGGAGTGCAGCGACACGCTCACTGCAGCCTTGACCTCCCAGGCTCAAGTGATCCTCCCACCTCAGCGTCCCAAATAGCTGGGCCTGCAGGCATGCACCACCATGCCCAGTTGATTTTTGTATTTTTTGTAGAGACAGGGTTTCACCATGTTGCCTAGGCTAGCCTTGAACTCCTGGCCTCAAGTGATCTCTTTGCCTTGGCCTCCCATAGTGCTAGGATTACACACATGAGCCACCACATCAGGCCTGTTGTTTTGTTTTGTTTTTTTTTGTAAAAAAAAGACAGAATCTGTGTTGCCTAGACTGGAGTGCAGTGATGTGACCATAGCTCACTGCAGCCTTGACCTCCCAGGCTCAAGTGATCCTCCCACCTCAGCCCCCCAACTTTCTGGGACCACAAGTGCATGCCGCCACTCTTAACTAATTTTTTTTTTAACTTTTTGTAGAGATGGGGTCTCCTTATATTGCCTGGACTGGTCTCGAACTTCTGGACTCAAGCAATCCTCCTGCCTTGGCCTCCCAAAGCACTGGGATTACAGGCTTGAGCCACCGTACCCCACCCTGGTGCCCCTTTCTAGCAGTGAAAACATTGCTAAATGGGACTGCTTTAAATAGGTAATTTAATGTACAACCTCCTCTCTCTCTTTTTACAAACAGGTTGTCCTGGTAACAGATGGCTGTCTTGGCATTGGTAGAGGGTCATTACGACATTCCCTAGCTACTCAAAATCAACGAAGTGAGAGCAACAGGTTTCCACTACCTTTTCCTTTCCCATCTAAGTTATATATCATGTGCATGGCAAATTTGGAGGAGGTAATAACTTACTAAGTTCTTTTTAGTTTGATTAGGCATATTTTACAACTTAGTTTATTTTTTAGTATATACCACTAGTGCTATATTGTGTATACTGTAGCATTGAACTCCACTGGTTTCATCTGAGGCTGGTCACTTTATTTGAAAAGATTCTGGCTCTAAAATGTTCTTCGAAATTTCAGAGTGTTGCCCCATCTGGGGACCATAGCTGGAGTTGTTATCCATCCTCCTGATGGGGGCATAAAGGGTCAAGGTGTTCTTTTTGGTGTTAGTCATTTCCCTTCTTTAAGAATTCTCATGTCTATTCCACCAGAAATGTTTACAGGAGTGTGCTTTGATTTTGGCAGAAGAATAAAGTAACATTATTCTGACATATGTTTTATTAAACACTTTACTTCTTGGTTTTCCCATTCATTTGGCAATGTGATTTAACCTTTCTTCCCCTCAGTTTTTCTCTCTGTAAAATGTAGATAATGATAGTTCTTGCCAAAAGATGTTAGAAACACTTTGGAGGGAAGATGCTGTGTAAATACTAACTGTGGTCGCCACTGAGAGTCTTTGCAAAACTACTTCTGAATGGCATAGCTCTACATGTCATTTTGTGTAACATTCCTCTTTGGTAACCTTGAGTCAAAATTGTTGTAGTTATTTTCCTCTCACATTGGCTGTTAAAAAAATCATCTCAGTTATTTGTTGCCTATGTTATAGTAATGGCCTTGACCTTGGTGTGCTGATGATAATCAGGCATTTTGTTACACTTTAAAGGGTCATCTGTTTTGCTTTATAGCTCCAGAGCACCGATTCCTTGGAATACCTTGAACGTCTCATAGATTTAAACAACGGTGAAGGGCAGATTTTTACTATTGATGGTCCCCTGTGCTTGAAGAATGTACAGTCTATGTTTGGGTGAGTATATGCTTAGAGCTCTTTTGCCTTCTTTACAATCCAGTATTATAATTTGACATCCAGAAAGACTATCTGTTTTACTGTTCCTAATTGTGTCATTTCATTTTCCCCCGAGTTGTACATTTTTCAGATAAAATGATTGGTAGTAATGGGTTTTTTGTTTTTTTTTTGAGACAGAGTCTTGTTCCATCTCCAGGTGCCAGGCTGGAGTGCAGTGGCATGATCTCTGCTCACTGCAACCTCCGCCTCCCAGGTTCAAGCAATTCTCTTGCCTCAGCCTCCCGAGTAGCTGGGACTACAGGCGTGCGCCACCACGCCCAGCTAATTTTTGTATTTTCAGTAGAGACAGGGTTTCACCATGTTGGCCAGGATGGTCTCAATCTGTTGCCCTCATGACCCGCCCACCTCGGCCTCCGAAAGTGCTGGGATTGCAGGTGTGAGTGACTGCGCCCGGCCAGTAATGGTTTTTTAAAGTAAATCTATACTGCCTGTAGATACTGACCTCCTTATAATGGCTCAGCAATTTCAAAGGTTAGTTAACTTGCTCTTGGGCTTTTCAGAATTGCAATTTCCTCACTCAAAATGTCAGACTTTGTTCTGTTTTACAGATGGTCAGATCTTAATTTTGGAACCAACTTGAAAAGAAAACAACCCTTGTGTCTTGAAATATGAATTTTATATGTATCGTATTACTCTTCCTGTAACTTAATTATCACATTCTAGAAAACTGATAGATCTGGCATATACACCTTTTCATGCTGTTCTCAAGTGTGGCCACCTAACTGCTGATGTACAAGTCTTCCCCAGGCCAGAACCTTTTGTTGTAGATGAAGAAATTGATCCTATTCCTAAAGTCATTAACACAGGTAACTTTTTAAAAAACTTCTCAGTTTCCCTGTTATCCTCACCTTTTCTGACTTGTGACTTTTACCCTCTTCTCGGTCTAGGAAGGTTGAAAATAAATATATATTGTGATACAGGTTGAGTATTCCTTATCCAAAATGCTTGGGACCAGAAGTGTTTCAGATTTCAGATTTTTTCAGGTTTTGGGATATTTGCATTTTACTTAGTGATTCAACATCTCTAATCTGAAAATCCAAAGTGCTCCAGTGAACATTTCCTTTGAGCTTCGTGTCAGCTTCATGTGTGTATAATAGTTGCGGATTGTGGAGCACTCTGGATTTCAGATTTTCAGATAAGGGATACCCAACCTGTACTAGGGTGCTGTTGTCATCAGCACTTTGGATTTGAAGATTCATTTTCTAAGGGGTGGCAGAATATTGGTCTTTTATGGTAAGGTCATCAGTTGATCTCCAATCCTAGTTAATTATAACCACAAATTATTAGAGTTGGAAATCATAGCCGTATTCACTAACATTGAAATCTTTGAGATAATTCTTAATAGAGATACTGAGATTAATTAGTATTATAATTAAGTCATATAAGAAGGGCTAGCTTCTGTACTTTGCAGTTTGACTCTTGCTGTGTGACCCTGGGAAGTCTTCCTCCAGTTATTATTGGGTAGTTAGGGAGAATCAACCAGATAGTCTTGGAGTTCTTGGATCTGATATAGTGTACTCTTCTAGCCCTGCTGCTTATATTATGACTTAATAAAAGTGATGTATCACAGCTTTTGCTTGGTTCATGTTGCTAGTACTGTGCTTAATTGAGATTGGCAAAGTGAAGAGTCAAAAATAGCAAGGAGCAGTGAGGAGGAGACTTGCCTCCTCTTGGTGGGTGGAATCCTTGAGTGTTAGGTACATGTTAAACCTCTTAGGGATGGATATTATCAGTGTTTCAGTCACCACTGCAGCCTTGATGTCGAGCACAGTACCTGACACTTAGTAGGGGCCCAATAGGTAATTGTTCAGTCAATAAATGATTAGAATTAAATGTGCAGTAAATGCACATTGTTTTGGGTATATGGATTTTTAAGGGGTTTTGGAATTAGGGGCTGTGAACAGCCACTTTTACTTTTTGTGCCTTTAGCTTCTGGCTATCTGGAAGCAAGGCATCCATCTCTTCTACTGTGACTAGACAACAGTATATTAAGCTGTACCAAAAGTCTTCTTGCCTTCATAACAGTTAGATTCCACTTCCTTTTCATCCTTTTTTGATAAGTAAATTTGAATAGGGCTTTTCTTTCCCATATAAACTCTTAGTGGAAGATCTTTCTTACAGATAAACTACCTTAAAATATGTAGACCTTTCTCTATTCAAATGAAAAATATCTAGTTGCTTATACTAATGCATTTACTATTCAGCTAAGGGAAGTAAGGACAGCAAATCTCCAGAAAAACACACTTCCTAATGTATTAGAAATATAAGGTACTCACCATGATTCTGATTTTTAAAAATTCTTTTGAAAATATGGGTATTAACCTAGAATAAAGACTGAAAAGCACATTAGTAAAATATTAAGATGTTTCCTTTGATTATGAGTGAGTGACTTTTTCTTTATAATTTTTATTTATAAGTCTATATTTTTTGTCTATATTATTTATATTATCAAAATTTTTATGTTCTTTTGGTTACAACATTTATTTTTATTTATTTTAGGTTTTCAACAAATACTTTTGGTCTTTAATACAGCTTCTGTAAAGCAGAGAAGTCATTGTCATATTTAGACTGCTTACCCTAGTTTTGTAAAAATACAGTTTTTTCTCAGAGAGATGTTAATACAAGAGCTTTATTCTTCAAAGGCTGATTATAGTTGCTGTGGAAGTGTTTGACTCTGATGCCCCCTAGTGACCTGAACATCCCTGACTATACAGAGGGATTTGACCTTTCAGATTTTTGCCTTGGCTGGGATCCCAGCCTTATAAAAATAAAGTTTAGTTGATTTTGTCATATAACTTAAATTCATTAAATAAATGACAGTTATCATTATTTCCTGATCAACTTAAAATGCAAATTATTAGATGACTCCATAGACAAATCTAATAACTTTCCCAGTCATATTTGAAACCCCAACCTAAACAGTACATTTGTGAAATTTAGTACAGAAAATAATGTACTTTTCCATAGAATGAAAAATCCGAATCATGGTGAGTACCTTATATTTCTAATACATTAATTCTATGTTGATTTCTTCCTTTCAGATTTGGAAATAGTGGGATTTATTGATATAGCTGATATTTCAAGTCCCCCAGTTCTGTCCAGACATCTGGTCTTACCGATAGCACTTAACAAAGGTGAGTTCTCTTCCTATTCCAGTGACACATAGGAAGCATCTTATTAACTAAAATTATTCTTAAATCTTAGATAGTAGGATAGCCCATTTTGCAGAATTTAGGGGAAAGGAATAGTTGCAGATTTGGATTTTAGAAAATGGAATGTTGGCTAATATATCAGAAAAGTAATTCTACTGCAGCCGGGCACGGTGGCTCACGCGTGTAATCCCATCACTTTGGGAGGCCCAGGTGGGCAGATCACTTGAGGTCAGGAGATCGAGACCACCCTGGCCAACATGGTGAAACCCCATCTCTACTAAAAATACAAAAGTTAGCCAGGTGTGGTGGTACACATCTGTAGTCCCAGCTACTCGGGAGGCTGAAGCAGGAGAATTGCTTGAACTCGAGAGGCAGAGGTTGCAGTGAGCTGAGATCGCGCCCCTGCACTCCAGCCTGGCTATAGAGCGAGACTCCATCTCAAAAGAGAAAAAAATGTAATTCTGCTTTACATAGTAGAAAACATTTTGACACATATCTACTGTGTGTTGGTTTGTGAATTTACAGTGGAGGTCTTCTTTAGAGATGAAAATGCTTAGTCCCTCATCCAGGGCTCTGCCTTTCCTAGTAGAACATGCCAAGAAAGCCTAAGTAATTATCAGAAGGTTACTTGATAAATGTGCAAGTTAAATACAGCTTTATACAGGGAAGAAGTACATCTGTTCTTTGTTCTACTAGTGCCCAGCACATAGTAGATACTCAGTAAATATTGTTGAATGAAAGAGTGAATCCAAGTGCTTGTGAATCCTCATTACTACAGCATATATCTCCAGGAACTATAAAGTCAACTTCCCAAATTCAGCATCTCTCTGGAGAATACTAGTCTGTAGCTCTTTAAAATTCTCTTTTTCAAGGGAGGCACTGTGTTGTGGTGGGTGTAGAGCAGGAGCTCTCGTCCCTGATTGGCTACAGGTTCAAATCCCAGTTCTGCTACCCAGTTCAGATTACCTTTTTCTCTGTTTTAGGCTGACCATCCACTTTATATTTGTCAACTTCCCTGAGAATTGTATGTAGTCAGGCAGGTTTTCACATGCTAGGTAATGACCACATTCCATTTATCCCCAGGTTATCTCAGTTGGACTATTGGCTATTGCATAACCACTCAATCACACGTTCACAGACAGAATCTTGGTATATACCCACGGATGGCTTTATAATCACTGTGTTGATAATTTATTATTCTCAGAGAACAGCCAGATTTCCCTTATTTTTAAGGCCCTGGGGAATTCTGCATGCAGTATAGTTGCCAAGAAAGAAATTGAGCAGGCCAGGCATGGTGGCTTACACCTGTAATCCCAGTACTTTGGGAGGCCAGGGCGGATGGATCACGAGGTCAGGAGTTCAAGACCAGTCTGGCCAAGATGGCAAAACCCCGTCTCTAATAAAAATACAAAAATTAGTTGGGCATGGTGGCAGGTACCTATAATCGCAGCTACTCAGGAGGCTGAGGCAGAGATAGCTTGAACTCGGGAGGCAGAGGTTGCAGTGAGCTGAGATTGCACCACTGCACTCCCGCCTGGGCAACAGAGCAAGATTCTGTCTCAAAAAAAGAAAAAAGGAAAGAAAGAAATTGAACAAAATAAAGCATTTATTTAGGGGAATATAGAAAAGAAAAATATGGGAAGGCAGAATAGGGCCATGTTATAAGGGCTGTTGAAATGTCTAGCTAAACTGGACAAATTCTTCCTGTTGAATTAGAAAGTCTTTGAACAAAACAGAGCAGACAGATATTTTCAGAGAGAAGTTAATTTTAGGAAGATTCATCTGTCAGCAGAGTGTGAGAGAATCTGGAGAATCCAGTCAAGAAGCTTATAGAGTAATCATTGTTTACCTTTGGGGACTCATGCCTGTGCTGCCCTAAGGCTGTTGGTTACGAATGCCTTTGACATCTCTGTATCTAATTCTGTTGAAATGGGTGCCTGAAATTTGCAGTTAGCATCTAACTTAACATCCTAGTGGAACTGCGGAAAATGGATTTTTGTGTATGTAGCAGCTTTACTGAGATAAAATTCACATACCATATACTTCACTCATTTAAAGTGGTTTTTAGTATATTTGCAGAGTTGTATAACCATCACCACAATCAATTTGAGAACTTTTTTATAACCCCAAAAAGAAACCCCGCACCCTTTAACTATCAACTCCCAGACCTCTCCCCCATTTCCCCTACCTCAAATAACTACTAATATCCTTTCTCTATATATAGATTTGCCTACTCTGGATATTTTATATAAATGGAATTCATATAATGTGTGGAAACAGACTTTTATGTAGACACTGGAAAACTGGAATGAGTTTTCTGGGTCATCATATTGTTATAATATTCCCTTAGAACTCTATACACTATCCCTTCAAGGCTAGAAACATCCAAGAGTATAAATTGGGGTTTGGGGTTTTTAGCTAATTTCAGTCTAACCTGTTTTCTCTTTTTTTCGCAGAAGGTGATGAGGTGGGTACTGGCATCACTGATGACAATGAAGATGAAAATTCAGCCAATCAGATTGCCGGCAAAATACCCAACTTCTGTGTCCTGCTCCATGGTAGTCTGAAAGTAGAAGGAATGGTAGCGATTGTTCAATTAGGGTAGGAAACTTTGTCTACATTTGGTTGAATGAAAGGGAAAATCATTTTACAAAGTGAAGTATTTTGGAGACGTCTCTGAAAGAAATAGAAAGGTCCTTATCACCGTTTTCCTTTTCCTGACTCATTCTTCCTACCTGCTATTACATTCTTTTTTTCTTTCGAGACAAGGTCTTACTCTGTCCCCCAGGCTGGGGTACAGTGGCATGATCCTGGCTCACTGCAGCTTCAACCTCCCAGGCTCAAGCAATCCTCCCATCTCAGGCTTCCAAGTAGCCGGCACCCAGGTGTGCACCACATGCCTGGCTAATTTTTTTTTTTTAATTTATAGGAGTGGGGTCTCACTGTGTTGCCCAGGCTGGTCTTGAACTCCTGGGCTCAAGGATCCTTCTACCTTGGCCTCCAGAAATGCTAGGATCATGGGCGTTGAGCCACAGTGCCCGGCTGCTATTACCTTCTAATCTATTTTTTAATTCATCCCCTAGAATAAGTGTGGAGTGAGCCTTTTATTATGTTACCTTTATATCCTTTCTCAATTTTCCTCTTTTAAAATCCTATCTAGGATACCTGGGTTCTGGTTATAGCAATGCTACGAACTTGCTTTAGAATCGTAGGCAGGATTCATAGGCTCCTCATCTATAAAATGAGGGGATAGAACTAAATGGGAAAAAAAAGATGCTGATAACATTGAGCATTTTATTATGTGCCAGGCACTCCTCTAGGTACTTTACATATGTTAGCGCGTTTAATCCCTCATCACAACACTGTATGGGAGGTACCAGCATTATCCCTGTTTTATAGATGAGGAGACTGAGGCTTAGAGAGGTCGTGGAACTTCCTGAAGGTCACACAGCTCGTAATGAAAGAGCCATGGTTCTTACCCATGCATTCTGACTCCAGAGCCTACTCATAATTATTCTGCTGTGTTCCTTCCCTGTGAGGAAATCCTGCATAGCTTTTACGTTTTCTGAAGTCACAAAATCTGCAAAACCATCTATACCTTTCTGTAACACCTATTGTTAGAAAAGAGGAGGTCACTGATTATCTTTTGGCTGCCACCTGGGGTTGACTGGTATAGATCAAGAGGTTAGGATTAATCAGAGGAAGCATGGCTCCATTTCTGCTACAGTTAAAATTAGCTGGTCCAAAAAGGAATGCAGTTCTTATTAGGTATTAGTCTGCTATAGTTCGTGGCACCCAAACTACTTGTACTGGTCTGAATATGAGAATCATCTGGGACCCTTTGAGAAGCTGGGACAGGGCCTCTCTTATAGCACAGGGTGATAGCCTTGTGCCTGTGGTAGAAGGGCTTCTCTTGGTACTGTGTGAGTGACACAGTGAGGGAGCTGACAGGACCTATAGGTCACAGCCTTTACCCCTCCTCATCACCTCTCCAGCTGCTTGCTGCCCTTTGTGGTTTACTTTTTCTTTTTCTAGGCTGCTTTTGATTTCCATATCCACATAATTTTACCTGAATAATGTCCCAGAAAAATGGAAATATTAGAGGACAGTGGTATGCATTTTCAGGTTTAGGATTTGGCTTTGGTAAAAATAATGTGCCTGATTTCAACGCTGAAGCCTGTGTCTCTCAAGAGAAAAATACAGGCTAGACTTATTTAACTTAACCGTCTCAGACTTGATGTTCTTCTGATCATCCATCTTCTCTCCATCTAGTCCTGAATGGCATGGAATGCTCTACTCCCAAGCTGACAGCAAGAAGAAATCAAACCTCATGATGTCTCTCTTTGAGCCTGGCCCAGAACCTCTCCCATGGCTAGGGAAAATGGCACAGTTGGGTCCTATTTCAGGTATAATCCAGATCAGATTTTACTTACCTTGACTTTGTTTTCATTCTGCTGTTCTCGATATCTCTGACTGTGCAGTCAGGGAACTGACTGATCTCCCCTACCGGCACGCCCTGGTCTCGGATGGTGCTGAATAAGTACACGAAAAACTTGAAGAGAGTTTGATGTTGGAACTCCTAAATTTTACAGCTCAGGAGAAATCAACATTTAGATTGCTTTAAGTAAATACAAACTCTTTTAATGGCTTAGACTGAAAAACTAATCTCCATAATATTTTTTCTTGGTGTACTATATTCAACTCAAATAATTTTCTGTCATTCCTAGATGATGTAATCCTTCCTTCTTCCTGAAACTGTTTTTCTGTAGCTTTCCTGACACTGCTTCTGGTACCTATTTGAGTTCATCTTTGGCAGACTTTTCTTTCTCCTTCATTTTGTCTTTTCTTCCTCTTGCCTCATGGTTTCCAACACATTGTTCTTTGCCTTCTTCTCTTTGGTTATTCTTCTCCCTTGTTTATTTCATCAGCTGCAATAGCTTCACACTTCCCAAATCTGTAACTCTAGTCTCACCTGAGCTCTCCCTGAAATTTGCATATCATATTTTCAGTTCCTAGTTGGATCTCTCCACCTGGATATTCTGCCACAGCCTCAAGCTCAGCTGTTTGTTACAGACCTATTTTCCCCCACCCCCTTCTCCTCAAACTATTTCTTCTTCTGATTTTCCTCCTCCTTTTGATGAAGGCATTTGTGCCAGTAGCTGCTGAGCTTCCAACTGTAGAGTCACCTTTGACTCATTTGGGCCCATTTCAATTTCAGGAACATCTATCAAGCAACCTGTTCTGTGCCAGGCCTAAGGGATAAAGGAGCTAGCTAGAGTTGCTGAAAGTCTAGTGGGCACAGACTGGCACAAATCAGAGTTAGGCTGGAGGAGGTGATGATGAGCTCTGCCTGGAGGACTCTGGAGAATCTTCACAGAGGAGAGATATCCTAGTTGTGTTTTGAAGAAAAGGAGGAACTTGCTGAGCTGATGAAGGAAGAAAGGGCACCCTGGGCAAGCAGAACACCTACAGAAAGAAAAGGAACTGCAGCACAAAATGTGAGAGTGGGTATGGGAGGAGCAGATTGGAGATTGGTAGTAGCTAGAGTGGAGCAGGCCTTGTCTGTGATGTGAAGAACCAGGAATTTATCTTGCAGATACTAGGAAGCCGAAGAGTAGTCATGTGATCAGATTCTTCTGGCTACAGTGAGAACAAGGGGGTACCAGTAAGGAAACTGTATTTTAAGGGTTGGTGCCTAGGGGCAGCACCTAAAATATATTTCCTTACTGATATCCCCTTGTTCTCACTGCCCTTAAGATACTTAGGGCAGTTGTACAATATGGCCGTAATTCAACTGAAAAATAAGAAATTTGTATTTAGAAAGATATCTCTGTGGAGTGTGGATTTGAAAAGGCAAGGACCTGTGGCTAAAAGTTACTGTGTTAGTCCTGGAAATATGAAGATGAGAGCCAGACCATGGCAATAGCTGGGGGTAAAAGATATTTAGGAAATATAACGTTTGGATGTGAAAATAAAGGAGAGGGAAGTGTTAGGAATGATCCCAGGTTTCCGACCTGGGCTGCGGGGTGAAAGGCAGTACTATTAGTTGAAATAAATAATACAGAAAGAAGAGTACATTTGGGAAGAACACATTTTGTTTACGTTGAGTTTGTGCCTATGAGATGTAGGTGGAGGTGCCTAGAGACAATTCCGTAGGAGTCTGAAGTTTAGGAGAGAGGGCAGAGTTGGAGAAAAAGTTTTTGGTTGTAAGCCTATCACAAATAGTTAAATGGTGAGAATGAGGGAGATTGCTCAGGTCAGTGGTTCACAAATTTGAGTTTTTGTGTACAAAAATAAACTTGGGATAAATACCACACATTCGCACCCATATATGGAAGCTAAAAAAAAAATGAGTTCATGGAAGTAGAGAGCAGAATGTAGAATCATGGTCATTAGAGTTTGGGAAGGGTATTGAGAAGAGGAGAACAGGGAGGGAGAACAAAGTTACAGCTATTAGGGAGGAATAAATTCAGTGCTCTATAGCATTGTAGGGTGAGTATTGCTCATAATAACTTAGTGTATATTTTCAAAAAGTTAGAAGAGAGGATTTCGAATATTCAGAACACAAAGAAATGATAAATATTCAGCCAGGCATGGTGGCTCATGCCTGTAATCCCAGTACTTTGGGAGGCCAAGGCAGGTGGATCACTTGAGTCCAGGAGTTTGAGAACAGTCCGGTCAACGTGGTGAAACCCTATCTCTACCAAAAATACAAAAATTAGCCAGGTATGGTGGTATGTACCTGTGGTTCCAGCTACTCAGGGAGCTGAGGCGGAAGGATCACTCGAGCCTAGGAAGCAGAAGCTGCAGCGAGCCCTGATTACACCACTGCACTCCAACCTGGGCAACAGAGCAAGATCCGGTCTTAAAAAAAAAAAAAATCACGCCTGTAATCCCAGCACTTTGGGAGGCCGAGGTGGGCAGATCACCTGAGGTCGGGAGTTCGAGACAGCCTGATCAACATGGAAAAACCCCGTCTCTACTAAAAATACAAAATTAGTCGGGTGTGGTGGTGCACGCCTGTAATCCCAGCTACTCGGGAGGCTGAGGCAGGGGAATCGCTTGAACCAGAGAGGTAGAGATTGCAGTGAGCTGAGATCACGCCATTGTACTCCAGCCTGGGCAACGAGAGCCAAACTCCATCTCAAAAATAATAATAATAACTATATTATTCAAAGGTGATGGATATACCAGTTACCTTGATTTCATCATTACACATTGTGTACATATATGGAAACGTCAATCCGTATCCCATAGATATGTATTAGCTACTGTGTGTCCACTAAAAATAAAAGGAAAAATAAATATGGAGAACTTGTTTAGACAGTTCATTTCCTACATGCCACCTATAGAGATTCTGATGCAGCAGGTCTGGATTCAGGCCCAGGAACTTGCAGGGTGTTTTTTTCTTTTTATTTTATTAAAAAAAATTTTTTTTTTCTTTCTTTCTTTTAACAGTGAAATGAACATTATTTGTGCAAGTTTTGCGGGGTTTTCTTTTGTTTTTTTTGTTTGTTTGTTTGTTTTTTGAGACAGGGTCTTGCTTCGTTGCCAGGTGCCGGGCTAGAGAGCAGTGGCGTGGTCTCAGCTCACTGCAACCTCCACCTCCCCGGTTCAAGCAATTCTACCGCCTCAGCCTCCCGAGTAGCTGGGACTGCAGGTGCGTGCCACCATGCCCAGCTAATTTTTGTATTTTTTAGTAGAGAGGGGGTTTCACCATGTTGGCCAGGATGGTTTCGATCTCTTGACCTCGTGATCCGCCCGCCTCGGCCTCCCAAAGTGCTGGGATTATAGGCATGGAACTTGCAGTTTTAATATTACCCAGGTGATTAGAATCCAGGTGATCCATGACCACACTTTAAGAAGAAAGTACAGGCATGTACTGCCTGATGACATTTCGGTCAACAGTGGACCACATTTATTACAGTGGTCCTATAAAATTATAATGCATGATTTTTACTGTGCCTTTTCTATATTTAGATGCTTTAGATACACAAATACTTGCCATCATGTTACAATTGCCTTTAGTATTCACTACAGTGACATGCTTTATGGGTTTGTAGCCTAGGAGCCATAGGCTATACCATCTAGCCTAGGTATGTAGAAGGCTAACCCTATTACATAGGTTTCTGTATTACACTCTATGTGGTGTTTGCATACAACAAAACTGCCTAACAATGCATTTCTCAGAACATATCTTCGTCATTAGGCGACACATGACTGTGTATATTAAGGAAAAAATATACAACCACCAAACCCCTGGAAAGCATCAGCTACTGGGGGAGCAGCGGAAAGGGTGCTGGTGAAGGAAAATGAGAAGGAAAAGGCAGCTGAAAGAGGAAAAGTAGAAGAGAGAGATATCACAGAAACCAAGAGTGAAGATTCCGGAAGAAGTAGTACCCTGCCGTGTCTCATACACACATACATGTCAGTTAATGCCTGAAGAATGCCCTTTGCCATTGAGACGTAGAGATTTTATCTGAATATAGGCCTTAGAAGCTAGACTGAGGCTTGGCATGTTTTTTCAGTAAAGGGGCTGGTAGTAGATATTTGTGACTTAGCAAGCCATGTAGTCCCTCTGCTGTTGTAGCACAAAAGCAGCCATAGACAACATGCAAACAAATGGAAGTGACTGCGTTCCAGTAAATTTTATCTAGGGACACTGAAAATTTAATTTGATGTAATATTCAGATGTCATGAGATATTATTATTTTAACATTTTTCCCTAACCATTAAAAAATATTTTTAAAATTCTCAACTCAAAAACAAGTAACAGGTCATATTTTGCTAATCCTTGAGCTAGGATTTAAAGCTTATACAGGGACAAGAGATGTAATGACTTTGGTTCAAAATAAGATAAAAAACTGAAATCTCTGAATAAATCTGAGAATGTGTAAGGTCTGTTCCTTCAGTGAGAGGATAACAAGAAAAACTCTACCTGTTGTTTCTACCTGATTTTCTAGAGATCGAGAAATTTAAAAATTCCCTATGAACAGTTAAAGCCCAAGTCCTGCATCATGCAAATTGATGCTACCTGTGTCTGATGTGGGGAGTACAAAACCAAAAAATGCAAAAACTTGTTTTGAGCCAGTAAGACCCATGGTGTGTCCTCCAGAAGTTATTGTAATATATTGGCTCTGTAGGAATACCTCTGCAACCCAGGGCAGAAGGGCTTCCACAGAAAAAGCAAATCCCCACTGAGGATGAATGCATGGTTTGTGAGGAAATTGCTTCTTTTGAAGGAAGGCTAACAGGAAAATTAGCAGTTCAAGAACTTAATGTGAAAGAGACTACAGAATGACTGTTTTAAATGATTAAAAAGTTTTAAGAGGAACAGAAATCAAGAGGAAAAAAAGGGACACTATGAATCAAAAGCGATTTGAGGCCGAGCACGGTGGTTCACGCCTATAATCCTCTGGGAGGCTGAGGCGGCAGATCACTTGAGCTCGGGAGTTCAAGACCAGCCTGGCAACATAGTGAGACTCTGTCTTTATAAGAAATAAAAATAATTTTAAAATAATTTTTAAAAGTTATTTGAGCTTGACACGTATTGGTGGCTTTCAGAGCAGATTCAATGTGGATGGTCAGCCAGGAGACAGGCTGACCAGAATTAGAGATGAGGAAATGAAGAGGGAGAAATAGGGCAGTAAATGGAGGCGACAGGGCAGAGCAAGTTGTGCGTGTGTGTGTGGAGTGGAGATCCCTCACCTCCTTCATCCCTATAGCATTCCTACATTTATTCTGCCTTTCATTCTCATTGCTCTTGGGCTTGTTTGGCTTTCTTTACCTTTCACTTAGACCAGAAGTCAACTACAACCCACAGACTAAACTGGCTCATTGCCTGTTTTTGTAAATGCTTATTGGAACCTCATTCATTTACATTTTATCTATGGTCACTTTTCTGCTACAACAGCAGAATTCAGTATGACAAAAACCATATGACCCATGAAATATGAAACATTTGCTGTGTGGCCCTTGCAGAAAAAGTTTGCCAACCTCTGACTAGACTATTGTGATGGTTTTCACCAAAGATACCGATCTATAATCTAAGATAGTAGTAGCATTCAAACTCCTTTCTGATCTGGCTTCCCATGTAGCATCACTTGGCTTGTTACCATTGTTCTTAATTCCAGTTGAACTGCTGTTCACTTTGCCTTCTGTTCATGTTGTTCTTTCCTCCCTCTGGGTCTGTTCCGCTTTTCAATGTGGGTAATGATAGATAATATTATACTGAACTTAACTTTGTGCCAGTCACTGTGCTAGACATAATGAGTGTACCATCTCATTTAACTTTCACAGCAATCTTGGGATTGGAATTATGATAACAAATAATAGTTAATAATAAAACCTACCTCAGAGCATTGTTAGGAGAATTTACTGAGGGAAGGTATATAAAATGCTGGGTACACAGTATATGTAAATACTGCCGTTTTTGTGTGTGTGTGTTTTTTTTTTTTTTTTCAAAGCAAAACATGCAAAATGGCACTGTTATTTGTACCAATCCCTCCTCTCAATTCTGTTCCTAGAGACAACCACTTTTTTTTTTCCTTTGTTTTTCTTTTGGAGACTGGGTCTCACTCTGTTGCCCAGGCCGGAGTGCAGTGGCACAGTCTCTGCTCACTGCAACCTCTACCTCCCAGGTTCAAGCGCTTCTCCTGCCTCAGCCTTTCTAGCAGCTGTGACTACAGGCGCAAGTTACCACACCTGGCTGCTTTTTGTATCTTTAGTAGAGATGGGGTTTCACCATATTGTTGGCCAGGCTGGTCTCAAACTCCTGACCTCAAGTGATCTTCCCACCTCGGCCTCCCAAAATGCTGGAATTACAGGTGTGAGCCATTGTGCCCAGCCTCCCATTTTATATTTATTTTTTAAGACAGGGTCTTACTCTGTCACCCAGGCTAGAGTGCAGTGCACAGTCTCGGCTCACTGCAGCCTTGATCTCTCAAGGGGATGACGCTAAGATCCTCTTACCTCAGCCTCCCATGTGGCTGGGACCACAGGTGCATGCCACCATATCTGGCTAATTTTTTTGATTTTTTTATAGAGACAAGGTCTCACTATGTTGCTGAAGCTGGTCTCAAGCTCCTAGACTCAAGCAGTCCTCCACCTTAGCCTCCCAAACTGTTGGTATTACAGGCGTGAGCCACCACACCCAGTTCTTTCCCCCCATTTTAGATGCCATTTTTTGACTTTTAAAGGATAAATGTTTAGCTCTCTTACCACCACCATCTCCCACCCACTTAAACAAGAAGCACATTCTCCCTCCTTCTGTCCTCCCAATATAGTTATAATGTTCTTTTTGGTTAAATCAGTATTCGGTCCTTGTTAGATGATGTAAATGTTATTTACAACTAAGCTATGTGGTATACCAATTTACATTTCCTTTGTTTTGCAACTTTTGGTCCCCTAGCTCAGCCCAATTATTTTTTTTTCTTTGCTTGTTTTCTATATAACTGACTAATTCCTCCCTAAGTAAAATACATTCCTTAGGTATTTTATCAGTTTCCTTTTTTTTTTTTT